AGTGTTTACAGCTACTACTCCTTTCATAACAATTGATCTAAAGGAGAACATAGCACCAAAGCCTAGGCTAATAAAGTAAGTGACAAATGCTAAATTAAAAACACATTGGCAAAGTGTGTGGGAAGTGCTACTACAAATAATTTGCTTAACATGGACAATAAAACATTAGCTCATATATGACCTGTTTAGGTTGGCATGATGTGACAAGTGATCAAAATGCTGTTTGATAATAAAATAAACTAACAAATGCCCCTAAGTAGAAAATGTTTTGCCAATGTTAGCCTAAATTATGTTAGCTTAAATGTCGGTTAGGTTAACGGTAGCTTAATTGGATATTTCCACGTCTACATGAAACTACATGAATACTACAAACTCACACATATTTTTCTATGTATGCATATATAAACAAAGAGATTCATAAAATAACGAAGGATTGGTAAGTTTACTAAGGCATTTGACCAATTGGCCGCTTACATTTTTGGTACTTTTTGGCAGCAATGTTACTGTAATATTTACATAGTTTTATATTGGATACAGTTACAGATGCTTATTAGCAACTGATTTACACAGTCTTTACTAGCTAGGACAGTTTTAAGTTTGTGCAACTTGAGTGAATAATCAGTAGTTTGAAACTAGTTAAGAACTTAGAAATGCACAAACTTAGTAATAAATTCAAGAATAGGTGGTGAAGCCCAATTCTGAGGTTTATTAAAACAACTACACAGATACCAGCAGGCAGACACACACACATTTGAGCTGCAATCCATTAGAGCATGTGAGTAACATAAATTATTAAGCAAGTCAAATGAATAATTATGTTTTTATTACACAAATTAAGCCCTTTCCCCTAAACTAGCCAGGCTCTGAGGCCTGGGAAATCTATTAAGGCTGTGCTATAGATCATCCCATCCACTGTGGCGTGTATATAGATCTGTCGGCTCATTTGAGGAATATTGAATCCGTTACAGTAAAGTAAGCCCCTGGATTGAGTCAAATGTATAAATCCATGCATGTGTGAGGAGCTGTCAGTGTGTGCTGTAATGACGGATGGCACTGGGTCTCTGTTTCAGTGAGAGGTGATAAAAAGTCAAAGTATGAGTGCCGGGGAGGGACAAGGGAGTGTGGGGGAGCAAAGACAGAGAAAAGAGAATTGGAACAGATCCGTCAAATGATAAGGGCAATCAGTCAATCTAGGAACGTTTCAGACGATGGAAAGTGTTATTTCCTCCCAGTGTAGTTTGGAGTCAAGGGTCGGTGAGGGGTCAAGAGTATGACCTCTGACCTCCTGCTAGTGAAGTGTTATTGATTCATGGTCTGCACAGTTTACTCATGTTATTATCTATTGGACAAGATTGGTTTCCAATTGCAGTGATTTGAAGTGAAAGTACTTTAACACAAAGGAGTGACAAGGACTTGATTAGCAAGTAAACAGCATTTTTAAAATAAAAAAATATACTCCTAAATTTCATACAATTTACAGACATGCATTCAATATTTGTCTCTTTTGAGGAAATGGACCTGACACACTATTTTGTTTTTTACAAAAGGTGAATAAAGGAGAAATAAAACACCTCTGACCACACAGCCTCACACACTTAAAAACACTGTCAAAATATTAAGTTAGTTAGATATGTTATTTATTGTGTGTTATAGTGCTTATAAGAGGCCGACGTTTGGTTGGTTTGTTTTTCATGAGACAATGTGTTCTGAATTTAACCATATGATCTGAGCATCATATATATTACACTGTAACCAGTTCTGAAAATTTTCAATTAAATTCATGCTACAGAATGAAGATTTCACCTCAATAATGCAGGGGTGTACTTGGAAAATCTCTTAGTGAGCATGCTGTTGAGGCAAATTCAAAATCAAAAAATTTGGAGGTTCCTATCAAATAACATGATGGCCAAAAACATGTGTAAAATTATGAAATCCCAGAATTTACCCCCATGAGAAGTCAGTCAGAGTTTCTGGTAGCATCCCACTTTATTACCACACGTTTGGTTCATCTTGACACCATCTCTCCCTTTCTGCTTTCTGTCTCAAGAGCATCAAACAGAGCCACGGACCCCCTACCAGGCTGACCCCCACGCTGACCCCTCTCCACACTCTGAACCGCTCGGAGGTGTGAACTTCTGTCCCCCAGCTGATAGAGCCTCCCGATAATTTTTATAGTCCCCATCCCTTGCTGTTTATGACTCTGCAGTTTGATTATAGCAAAGGGGGCTTGGAGCAGTAAGAGCCTCGGAGACACACACACACACACACACACACACACACACACACACACACACACACACACACACACATCAAAGGAGCTATGGGAGGAATGTGGACATTTGTTGTTTGTTTTATCATTCAGTACCAGCACTTATCTGCTTAATCATAAAGGATTGGCCTGGGAATGAGGCAGGCGGGACCGGGTGCTGGCCAAACAAACTATCCCCAACACTGTAATTGTTACTGGAGGGATGAGCCAGGTTTGTTTTGGTTATAGCAGCTTACAAGGTACATGGGAGTTTTATTCAGAGAGAGCAGAAGAACAGTTCAATTTAACATTACAACTGTTGCTGTTATGGTAAAGATGCATCCGAGTGATTCAGCTGACGGTCCACTATTTATGCACCTTAACATTACAGTTTAGACAATACTTTGCCTTTTTTATTGGGTTGAAGGAGGGTGGAATAAATAATCAGTAACATATGATTTCTTGCAAGGCATTATGATACACTGTTAAAATATTATGATACATCATCAACTACAGATTATTTTCATTATGATTAATCTGCCAATTGCTTTCTTTATTAATTGTGTGGTCTATGAAAAAAAAAGTGGAAAAATGCCCCTGAAACTGGCTCATTGGATGTATGGTTGGACCAACAGTCCAAAACCCAAAGACATTCAATTCAAAATAAAATAAAACAGAGAAAAGCAGCAAATTTTTATATTTTCGTATTAGAGATGCTGGGACCAGAAATCCTTTATTACAGACACATGACAAAATTGCTTGTTAGAACATATGAGAAACATTGTTATATAATATGTATTCACCATCTATCTGATGGGACTTTGTAAACAGGTGTTCAGTTAGTAGTGTACCTATATGGTTTATCACTATTAGAGCGTTTGGCCTGGCCTCTACTTATGTGTTTAGATAAGTAGATAATTAGAACATAAAAACTGTCTGTTTCTGACATATTTATATTTTTGCATTGGCCCACATATTTCTCACTCCCTCTCTGTATGTTCTGTTTTACATGGACTAAATGTTTTTTTTTTCATTCTAAGTCAAATCAGCATCTGAGTCTCAATACTGAAGCATCCGACAACACCGCTGTATCACCAAAGTGACTGAGCTGTAGTTACAGTGTGCCAGATACACAACACTTTAATTAAGTCACAGGATCTCACCCCCTTTTTTTCTCCCTGGCCCGGTGAGTCAATCAGACTCTATGCCCTTCGTTTCCCTTGTGTGGGAGGCCGGTGTGCTGGCCTGAGTAGCTGGGAAAGTCCGATGATTTATGGCCCTTTGCAGGCCTGACTGCCTCTCACCTCGCTGATGTAAGAGCCAGGGGTAACGAGGACTGGTTGCTCCAATCCACTCTTCTATTTGGTAAATCCAATTTTATTCATTTGGGATTTAAAGCCACTTCACGGCCTTTGCCATCTGATGCTACTGGTAGATCCAATTGGAAAGATTTATCAGAGTACTTCAATGTGTAATTGGTCATATTTTTTACAGGTTAGGGGATTATCACATGGACTAGATGTTAATGATTAAGTACTCCAAAGGGTAAGAGGGGGCATTTGATTCTCAGTCTCACATGGTAGACTTTCATTTCCTTATTCATTACTTTATTTCTCTTTTGATGTATGCTCCATAGAGCCTTGTAAAACTACAGGATGCGTTTGTACGAGCAATTTGGAAACACTGAATACCAGTCTCTATCCCTTTTTCAGTTTGTCCAAGAAAATCTGTTGTGGCTTAATATTTACCTTGTGACTCTTTCCCCCGGTCAAGTGTCCCAACCTGCTGTATCAACAATATTCAAATTGTATAGCAGAGAACACCCTACCACAGGAGACCAAAGCCCATACTCAGGGCAGACTCATTATGAGGTCCATTTTGAGACTTTCTGCACTTGTTTCAGTCTCCATCTGAGGATCAAGCAGCTCTGACATATTAAAATCAACCAACCTTACATACATAGAGGGACACACAGGAACACGCAAACCAGCAGCAGCAGGGCAGTAACTCAAGGCCAAAGGAAGAGGTTTATTTTTATCATGGGCAAAGGCGCCAAATCATGTTGGTATGATGGGGGCTATATAAATGCAAATTGTATTGGAGAGCTATTAGTCCTGGAAAAGGTTTGTATGTAAATGCCCCAAAGGACCACAGAGGAGCACTCGGCCAGTTCAGATTAGTGGGGTTTGTGGCAAATGTGCTGCAAAAGACAAAATAGAAAAATAGACAGAAAATGCAATTGCCTTGTGGTAAATCATGGTGAACAAGGTGAGAAGCTGAGTAATTGAATGACCAAGGTGTTCCTGTATGGTTTATTGTGAATGCAAGAGACATGTATTGAGGTCGGTTTCCCGTGTGCATGCGCAAGTGTTTGTATTTTATGGTCATTTTGCTCAGGATATTTTATTCTGTACCTGAGCGCAACACAATGTGGCCATAAGCCGCTCTGCGAAAGCATGAATGAGCAAAATGTTGAAGCTAAATGAAATACTGCTGCCTTGTTTACAGCCTTGAATCAGTTTGCCAATATGTCAAAAATGGATTTTGTGGTTGGCAATAGAGCACACTATATCGACTGAAGAAAGAATGGGTGATTATGACATGAACAAATCAAATATGGCAGGGGATGCCACACCATTCATGGAAAGTAGAGGATTTAGTTGGGCATAAGGCTGTGACAACACTAACGCAAGGCCGCCCTCTAGCTTTAACTAAAGAGACTCACAGGACAATGACACTTCTCAGTCATAAATCCACCACAAAAAATACAGAATTTTTATTCACAGTCAGTCCCTACAAACCCTTGCATTAAATGCACCACATTACAAAAAAAGTGCAAAACAGCAGTTTGAATAAAACTGCCATGATATATTATACATAGTATATACATTATATATAGGAAATACATTTCAAGGTATGCATTGACAGGTTAACGTGTGTAGAATTCACTGTACTGACAACTTCTACTTATAGAATGTTTTTAAACTGCCAGGTGAAGACAGAATGACAAAAGTGATTGATTAATACAAAAATAGTAACACATTCTGCCTTGTCCTGGACATAAAATGACTGAGTAAGTCATGTGTAAAGTGCAACTGCAATTCTTCACGGATCTTTTGCCTTCTGAATCATTTCTTCGGAAACGTTATATTTCTGCAAACCCATGTCATGCCATCCTGGAAAGAAGCAGACAATGCGGTTGGGCTGTGAAAATTAGTGAGGCGAAATTGATGTGAGCCGCAGCTTAAAAGCCATAGTCTACTGCTGATTTTCAGGGCTGTATGACATCCCTCTTTGGCAGCCTACTTATGAGGAGAGAAAGAAGGCTCCCCGATTTAGATAAACCAATGCAATTAGTCAGCAAATCCTACTCAGAGTGGATTGTTATTGCTAAGCCAGTTATCAATTTGATGATGTATATAATATGTTGCCAGGAAGGGGAGATAATGCTGTTTTAAGGACACTGTCTAACAGTGGCTGGTGATGACATTATCATAGGAGGCTGAACCATCTGAATGCATTTGATGGAGACTTAAAAACAAATCCTCTTTGGCCTTTAGAGAGATGATAACATGCTTAACTTCCGAATGTAATTTTGGCAATTTCATAAATATTATGTATAGTTTGTGCAAGGAGAATTATAATTAGATTATAATTCTGTGGATATGACAAACACCTAGAGTCAAAACAACTAAAAGTCAGATAACATGAACACAGATAAATCAGTGTATTGTAATCCTATTGTACATCCTGAGTTTCTTCTGAACTCAGTTTTGTTTATTGGTTCAGCATTTGCTGCTGCTTTTAAATTTCATCAAACCAATGAGCTGTTTAGGCAAAATAGAAACCATGTTCACTTCACTGTTTCAGGCAATGTCACAATGTAAATTTGAGTAAAGTAGTCAATGCCAATATTCTCTAAGATCTCACTTAGTTCGCCACTCTGCAGCCCACCCTGTTGCAACCCTTGCTGTGTATGCATGCTGCGTGTTTGCAGACTGTGTGTACTGTATTTACCTGCACTCCCTCCGCAGTGACTGCTGAGCAGGCCTGGACCTGCCACATGCGATCCCTGATAGTGTGCAGATTGAGACTCTCTGCCAGCTCAGACGCTGGGCAGGCTGTCATTAGATCCTGCTTGTTGGCAAAGATTAGCAGTGGAACAGCAGCAAGCTTTTCTTCCTCCAGCAACTCAGCCAGTTCCTAGACCCACACACGGATAGTCAGTAACATATATGTACTGGCTAAGTCAGAAAACTAAATAATATTAAAGTTTTGCTTTAATTGCACAGAACAGAAAACATGGTTATAATTAGTAATATATAAACTGTAATAGACATGTTGTGATCATCATCTGTAATCCATGATCAACTCAAATTGTTCTCTAGTAATTAGACATGGCCAGTATTCACACTAAAAATATTGCAAGAATTACTGCAGTTCTTTAAAGAAAATATAAATTGCATCTCACCAGACTTGTCTCTTCAAACCTTTTCCTGTCTGAGCTGTCAATCACATAGATCTGCAAATAACACAGCCAAAGATATTACCAAAATGTTTCAAAACTGTGTAACAAGCTGATTAAGTGCATCAAAGAGAACCTACCAGCACATCTGTGTTCTCAAAATAATTCCTCCAGTAGGGACGGATCTTTCGCTGACCTCCAATGTCCCAAACATTCAACTTGAAGCCAGATGATTGAATGCTCTTTATATTGAAGCCCTGTTAAAAGATAGTTGGATGCTTAATGTTTTCTTTAATACTTGCAGCAGGAGGATTAAAGCATGATCTGCTTGACTGGAAAATTAAAAAATGCATCTATATGAGGACATTTTGTGACAACAGTGAAAAGATTCCCCACAGTGTGAGACTGAGCCATTGGAAGTGTGTGAGTGTATACATATTTGTACTTGTGTGGGGGTGATGTGGCTGACATCTTCTGCCGCCAGCTGTTTTAGCAGAGTGGTCTTGCCAGAATTATCCAAGCCAAGCAACAGTAAGCGAACTTCCTGGTCAGGAGACTGCTTTAGCCTCCGAAGAATGGACAACAGGCCCTGTAGGTGGATCAGAGTACAAGCTAGAGGTGATGAGCTTTGGTTCCAAGACAACATATGATAGGGAAGCATTTTCTCACTATTTTGTTACATAAATGTGGCCTGAGCTGTGTCAGGTAAAAAAAAAAACATTTGTCAGAGGTCTGCATGGTGTCAGGGGTTGGCAGAGAAACCTTATGCAGCTTGTACAAGAGGTTTAACACTCACCTCACAGCAAGAATCATCTAGAGGGGGAGGATTTAGCTCTTTGTGGTTTGCAGTGAACTATACATGTAGCAGGCCAAAAGCTCTCATTGGCCCAGATTAGACATTAGCACAGTGAGTGGCTTGTGTCCAGAAATTGGTAAGGAAGGCTTTGGCTCAAGCAATTTACCTTGCAGTGTGTCACTGCACTGTGATCTTCAACATGTGCCAAATGTAGAAACAACAGATTTTCTATCAATAGGCATAAAGACAAAACTCACTTGTTTTCTATGGCTTTTTCTTAATTTAGTAACTTTGTAATTTGTGGTTTGTCTAATTCGTCATGTTGTTTTCATATATAGTTTGTGTCCATTTATTTCTCGTTTCTTTCTCATGTAAAGCTCTCTGTATCAACTGTTTTGAAATGTGCTATATAAGTAAAATGTACTTGCTTTCCTGCATTAAAAGAAAAACATGAATTGTTTGAGTGAATGATCCAAAAATTAGAACAAAACATGATTCTTCAAACTCTTCAACTCTTCACACAAGGTACAATTTACATGGTTATTTATTTGTCATTATACAGCACAAGGCTGCATAACGAAACAAAATTTGTAGTTGTACACACACAACATATAATTAAGTGTAAATAAAATACAGTAACATATAAAATAAAACAATATATAGGCCTACAGTTATTCATATCCATATATACATACAAGTAGCCTATCCATGGAAGTATACATTCACGGGCATGTAAAGTTAGCCAGCTGTAACTAACAGTTTTAACACACAGGTTATAAAACAGCATTCAATGAAAATATAAATTAAATATGTCATGTTAATTAAAGGCAGCCCTGGCTGTGAATCATGATAACTCACCATGTTTTCCTCAGATGTTGTTGTTGTGGCCCTTGCTCAGGCTGAGTGGATTAAAATATTTCTAACCATGCCTCTTGGGAGAACAGCTGTGAACTTTTGTTGCCAGGGAAACCGTGACGTCAGCGTAAACAACGTGACAGCTGGGCGTCTCTGACGCAAAAATGTAGGCTACCATGCAAATATATCAATAAAAATATATTATGAAGAATACCTTTCACTCATTATTTGCTGAAAATGTTTTACGGTTGAACTGATTTTTCTTTCTTCCTTTTAAAGCACTTTAATAAACTTACATCATTATAGTCTTCAGTGATAACATTAGTGATAAAAAGAAAACATTTTTATTATGAAAACATGAACAAGATTAGTTATGTTACTGTTTTTAAGTAGTTCTCTTCCGCACTGAACTTGAACGAACAAGGATTTAAGAATAATGTAAGGCTACAGTTGCGATAATGCTCTGCGTAAGAAGCAGCAGCAGCAGCAGCAGCAGCAGATTGACTGAACTTGAACTTATGTGAAATCATGTGTTTTCACTAGTTCACCTCCACACTCGCACACACAGTGCCCTCTAGAGTTCAGTAGCCCACTTTCATCTTACTACTAACGCTGGTGCTGTTTCACGGAACAACATAAACATGTCAGCCTGAACCAGCAACACCTGCTGTCACCACAACAGGTCGTCGATTCGACCGACTGCTATATGATTCCCGTCGCGTTAACGGCCGTCAACCCAGAAAGATGCCACAGAAAGCACTGGGATCCATTGTAGGTCTTCTTTGTACCGGGACTTGTCTGGTGCAGGTAAGCAGCTGCTAGCGCTGCCGCGGTCGGTTGATGGCTCCAGTCGAGGCCGCGGCTCCTGGGGTAGACGAAGGCCTTCTGCTGATCTTTTTGTCTCCTCCACAAAAGAAACTGGGCACGGTTCGCCTCTGTATTCCGTGGATGACGTCAGTTAGGCAAAGTTTTCATTCATATTTCGACAGCTAAGTCGCTAGAAGATCTGGGTTTTCAATCGAAAAGCTACACGGATGTGTTTTATTATCTCAATTATACGGTTTGAGTCAACGGTATCAAGATTAACGTTAGCCGTTGCTAAATGGTACCCGGCAAATGTACGTGTGTGTTCATTGTTGTGGATATTAAGCTAGCTGGACAGGGCAGGCAGCCCCAGTTTGTCCAGTTTGCCTCTCTGCGAACTTAACTTTAGTCAAAATAAGTTGAAAACGATATGAACCTTCGCAAGGGTAACTTACTTCAACAATGAACGTTAAGCATTTTATCTGCACATTTATTGACCTCTGTAACGGTACCGTTAGCCCCATTGTTTTATCAAGTTTCTACATGTTGCTTTCGAAACCTATTTACATCAACTTTCAATGTGTAGTAGTCATTAGTAATTGTAATACTGTACAGTTGGCCACATTTAGCAGTGGCTGCTGTCCTTGGCTCATTTTTAAATCAGATTTTATTTATTATTTATCTTTATGAATTTTTTTGCCTGTACAAATCTAGATGTCACAGTAACGGTGCTGAAAATTAGCCCAGAAATGTGCAAACACTTAAGTGACAAATGACAAAAACTAAATAGATCCTGGAAGCGGGTCATTCTACCAAGAGCTTGCTATGCAACTTGTGTTATTTAGTATTGACTCACTTTGTTTAACTTTACCTCTTGTGTGTACTTAAGGGGAAGGAGTTCTGTTTTGGTGTAAACAATGAGCAGTACCGCTGTGAGATGGGGTACTGCTGTGGAGAGACAGAATGCTGCACCTACTACTATGAGCTCTGGTGTAAGTGCTTATAGCATTTTTGTCTTTTTCAAATTCTTTATTGACATACTTACATTGTGTTTCTTTGTACCCCATTCCTATTGTCCATTTGATTCTCTATTTTGGAGACTTTTGGAGACTCTCAATATATATGTGTTGTGTCATCTTCATTTTGGTTTCACTTTAAAAAACAATATACTGAAAGTGAAAATAACTTTATTATGTTATTTGGAACCCAGTTCCCCCATTTGGCTTATTTAGTGTCAGGGAGAGCCTTGCTTACATTACATTTACCCCCCCCCCAATAGGGTTCTGGTTGGTATGGACCCTGATCATCATGCTTAGCTGTTGCTGTGCGTACCGACACCGAAGGGTTAAGATGCGTCTTCAGCAGGAGCAGCGTCAGCGTGAGATCAGCCTCATGGCCTACCAGGGAGCCTCCAGCTCCTTCATTACCCCTCCACCTCTCAATCTAAGTGAGTAGTCTTTGTGTTTGCTTCCAGAATTGAACAGTTATACTGTTTTGCTTTTGGTGCCAATTTCAGTTTTCTGTTACCATGCAATTCCACATTCTGTGTCATCTTGCAGCTTTATATGTAGGCTGTGTTTTTCTTCAAACCTTTGAGAGGAAGTGCCCACTCCATCAGATCGAGAGGTCGCTCTCAGATGGATATCTGCATGGGCTTACTGGGTGATTCAGTTTCTGTCGGGTCTGCCCTGAGATCTCCCGATTCAGTGCAGACTTGCTGCTCTGTACCAAGGCTGTTTGGTATAGAGCTAGCTTTAATCCTACTTATCAGACAAATTAAAGTCAGCCATCCTACAAGCTTCATGTTAGCATATTAGGTTGTATGCACAGTAGTATTCTTTTGGGCAGTGTTCAAACCTCTTGTTCATAGGCCAGGCTCCGCACATTTTAGATGTCTCTTTGTTTTTCTGTAAAGTGTACTGGGATCATGTTGTTGGTGATTTTACACTTTAAATAAACCTGACTTGACTTTGAACTGCTCTCTCCACCACAAAAGCACAACACAATGTCCATACTACAGCAACGAATCTCTCAATCTTTCTTACTCAGATCCATATGAGACCTGAACTCTCAGTGAAACAGCTGTTCTTCCCATTTCCTGTATGAAACAGCCCCCTTTTGTTGTGAGAGAGAGTCATAACCTTAGAATTGGAGGTGCTGATCCTCATCCCGATCTTGTCATACTCAGCTGCGGATTGCCTGAGAGTATATTGGAGATCAGGGTCTGACTTTGCCAGAAGGACAGCAGACGGCAGAGATGCCATCCTAATGTCAGTGGTCACTCTGGACCTTGGCTTAACTTGATATCATGTCCACTAATATCACACACAGGAGTTGGTACAAGGTGCACACTTGTTGGAGTATAAGGCACACAGCGGACATGCTTGACTTAATCTCAGGAATGTGAACACAACTCTGACTGTGAGCGTACACAGACAGTGACTCACACTGAGACCCTGGTATCATGTACTCTTTACAGCTCTTCCCACAGGATATCATGGGGAACGTAATAAGAAGCCATATCCAAATATTCAGGGTACATTTTGGCTTATGCCTTCCAACTCTACAGCTTAAAATGGTAACCCTGATGTATAAAATTACATGTTAAACCTCTTTTAAATTTGTGTTAAATTTATTTTCCCAAACTATATTCTAGTTTTCTACTCATGTCTAGTAGCGCTGTGTGTGAATTGCTATTTTGTGAAATAGACAAGAGAGGAATTTAAAACACTGTAATCATGTATGGGACTAGCGTTAACATAACATGCCACCATTCTAGAAAATGACTTAAAATCCCAGTGAGTGCTATCAGGGATGGTTAGATTAGGTTTGGACATATGGGAAAATTGATACTTAATAGTAGGCACCATAGACTGTAAAAGAAGTGGACGTAGTCATCGTGACGTCACCCGTTGGTTTGTTGACTGCCGTTTTGAAGCCTCGAGTTTGGCTGATAGGGCGCCAACAAATTGATCTTTTGCAACCAGTGGCACTTGACATGACCATATTTGGACGAGACGGTGGAGTTAGCTAGCTTGCTTAGCTAGGTGCGTCTGTAATTCATTCATTTTAACCGGGATGATAATTTTGTCTAGCGACCAACAGGCTTAAAACTAAATGTACTCACCAGAGAAAGTGAACAACCAACTCCTAATAAGCTTTTTCAACGGCGCCGGGTTAAATTTACAAAGTGGCGTGGGTACGTGTCACTCTAGTCTGATTGACAGGTCGCTACGATAACGACATGTCAATTACAGATAATCCTGCCCTGAAGCATACTCTGCCTTATGGTCTATTTTCTTCTAAATGGGACCATAATTTACTAAATGAACATCATTCTGTATTGAAGAAGAATTGCAACTAGCAATTGAGACCATAAACTCATTATGAAAGTGTTTACTGAGGTAATTATTCAGTTGAGAAGTAAGGTCATTTAGCCATTATTTCTAATGGAACCGGACTTCTTTTTGCAACCACAAGAGTCGACCCCTGCTGGCTGTTCAATAGAATGCAAGTTTAAGGGACTTCGCATTCGGCTCAGTTCTCTGACCGGAAGCGTCCTGCTTGGTAGGCACACACAAATGTAGCCCATTGTATTTTAGATGAACCCTTACTGCAGAGGTTGTACCACCTACATCCCTCTGTTCTACTTGTATAATGTCAGAGGTACCCAGCAAACTAATTGTTGCAGTTCTATATCGACTTAAGCTGCCTTTATTGGGATGATGGTTTGAAAGCTAATGCATTTTCATTTGCTGGCTCTCAGGGTTCTGGAACGACTGCAAGCTTCCTGACTATGAAGAGGTGGTAGGTCATCCCCCAACACCACCACCTCCTTACTCTGAAAACCCTCCTGAGACAACTCCAGCACTCCCTCCACAATTGAGCCAGCCAGACGCTGCTACGGTGCCACAACCACTGGCTGAGGCAGACCTGAGGGTGGACATTCAAGCCTCAGGCTCATCATCAGACCAGGAAGCAGCGTCCATGGCGATCCAAGCACAGTGTCTGGCAGAGGAGAACATGGAGGCTCCGTTGATGGCGGCAGAGGAGGAGGACGAGGAGCTCGTCACCCGGCGTCGCCATGTGACAGGTGACTCGGGGATTGAGGTGTGCGTTTGCCAGCTCGACATAGACGAGGGCTCGGGGCTTGAGGAGGAAAGCGACGAGGAGCACCAGATGTGCAAGGTGACGGATCGGGACTGCTGTTCTGGGCACCAGCAGCAGAACTTCAGACAAAAGGAGCGCACCTCTGACCTGCCCAGCCAGACTGCCAGCACCAGCACTGGAGACCACATGGTGTGATCCACTGCCTAACTAACCAGCCAAGTGTGGCTTTCTGCTTCACACAGGGTGATGCAAGACAGCAGTTGCCATCATCATCACCACAGGGACTGTCTGTGTTAATTCTTTGAACGAACACATAGGCACGATATTAAGATGATGATGATAGCTCCTGATTAGCAAAGATGAATAACACATTGTGTGGACAAACTCCTGGCTTTTTGTTTTTCTTTTGTTTTGCTTTTCCTTAGCGGAGAAACTAGCAAACATGTTGATGCTCCATTTGATATGTTTTTTTCTTGACGTTAAGTGAAAGATCGTCATTGGGTAGTGAGAAGGCAGCAGCT